ACTGCCCGGGCCCCTCAGTCCCCACCCACAGCCCCCTTCTGCTCCCACCCTGGGCTCCCCACCCCCAGCACTGGGCCCCTCAGTCCCCACCCGCAGCCCCCCTCTGCGCCCACCCTGGGCTCCCCACCCTCAGTCCTGGCCCAGCTGGCCCCAGGTACCTTTGCTGTTCTGCAGGATGCGGTCGATGAGGACGGGGTACTTGGTGATGCGCTGGGTGACCAGCAGGATGCACTCCTGCACCCCGTGCCGGCGCAGCACCGAGGAGCGGGTCAGCCTCTGCGGGGGAGGAGACGGGGACAAGGGTCAGACGTCAGCTCAGCGCCCGGCCCAGGGCTCCCCTTGCTTCACCTCACGCCCAGTCCATTGCACACTGCCCTCCCGGGGAGAGATGCTCCATGGCCCCGCTTTACAGATGGGGAAACTGAGGCCCAGAGCGGGGTCAGGACTTGGCCATGGTCCGCGGCAGAGCTAAGAACAGAAGCCAGATCTGACTTCCAGGGCCCGGCTCCAGGCAACAGCCCCCCCAGCCAGAGTCACGCCAGTCTCATGCCTCTGCCAGGCCCCTCGGTGCCCCAGGGACCTGGCCGAGGGGGGTCCAACCCATGGGGACGAGGCCCGAGTTCCTGCCCCTCCCTGCAGCACCAGGGTCGATAGGGGAGCCGGATCCCATTGAGCCTCCAGCAGCCCCCAATTCCACTGGTAGCTTCCCCCTCCCTGTGCCCAGCCCAGCCCGCTCCAACGGGAAAGGACTCACCCGTATGAACTGCTGGAACCTTTTGTCCCGGGCAAACAGCTCCTTGTAGAGCTTCACGGCCTTGGTGTGCCGGCTGCAGAACTCCGCATAGGCCTTCTTCATCTGCTCGGCGCTGTGGCCGGAGAACTGCGCCCCAATTCCACTGGTAGCTTCCCCCTCCCTGTGCCCAGCCCAGCCCGCTCCAACGGGAAAGGACTCACCCGTATGAACTGCTGGAACCTTTTGTCCCGGGCAAACAGCTCCTTGTAGAGCTTCACGGCCTTGGTGTGCCGGCTGCAGAACTCCGCATAGGCCTTCTTCATCTGCTCGGCGCTGTGGCCGGAGAACTGCGGGCCGGACACACGGGCAGGGAGTGAGACCCTCTGCGGCTGCACGGGGGCCATGCCAAC